ACAAGGGCGGCAGCCCGGCCAAGCAGGCCCGGGCAGGGGCAGGGGGCCCTCAGAGGCCAGGGCACAGAGGAACCGGGACACGGAAAACCAAAGAAACGGCACCCTTTCCTGCAAAGTCACATTTTCCAGCACCCGTGTTTTTTGGTTTGCTGCAACGCAGGATTCGGGTCCGTGTCCGGGTTTAGGGGGGTCTTGCTAGACTTTCAGGGCCCGTGTCCGGGTTTACTCTGGAAGCGTTCCAGTGCGGTATTTTGTTCGTGCCGCCGCCTGGGAGACTTGGTTTCAAGGGATGTTGGGTGTCCGGGTCTAGCGTGTCCGGGTTTACGGGGCCTTGAAGAGACAGAGGGCCCCCATTTCCTCGCGTGAAGTCTGGCCTGTCCCTCAGGGGGAGAATTCAAAAATAGTAAAAAATAGTCTCGGGACGATTTTTAAGATCATTTTTGAATATTTTTTGAATGCTGTTTGGGTATTTTTCATTTTTCGTCCAATATCCCCTTGTAGGGGGACACGCCCGACCTAATCCTCGCGTTGCGAAAGGATCACGGCGGCATGATTTTGGTCATCGTCGGCCTCCGAGGGGCCTCAGGGGGTCCCTGGACCGTGAAGGAACGGCTCCGGATGAAGAACCGATCCCAGGCATCCTCCGATCTGATTTTTTCCATCCGCGATCGCCCAAGTCCGGACCCCTTCCCTGGGGGTCGCTGTTCGTCCCAGCTCCATTGTGGATGGCCCCAGGGCACGATGTTGGGCCCCATGCAGAGGCCGAGGTCGATGAAAAATCGCCGGAGTGAGAAATCATATTTTCGAAGGTTTGGGGGCCGATCTTCTGGGGGCCCAGCCAGGTCAGACCCCCTGGCCGCCTCCAAAGTTCGTGATGGTCTTCCTCCCCCGTGCTCCAGAGCAGAAGCTTTAGGCCTCCCAGATGGGGTCGGAGTAGATGGGGCCGGAGGATCGCGCCGCATCGCCGATGGATCGCCGATGCATCGGCGATGTGTCGGATTGAAAGAGTCATGTCCTCGGAGGCCTGGGGTCCTGGGGAAGGTCTTCCACGCGCAGAGGGGGGTAGGGGGAGGGGGGAGGTCTTCTCAGGAACACCCCTGCTTCTTAGACGGCACGCGGGCCTCGTCTGTGGACGTAGGGCCGGCGCCTTCTGAGAATCAGCCCCCTTCTAGGAAGCCTTCCCCCCTCCCCCTGACCCCCCCCTGTGCACGCCGCCAAGATGGATCGCCGATGCATCGGCGATGCGTCGGATTGGAAGAGTCACATCCTCGGAGGTCTCGGGGGTTCCAAGGGGCCCGGAGGGCTTTTTGGAGGGCCAGGCGGGGCCTCCTTATGGGGGGGTCGCCTCGAGAGCCTCGAAATGTTTGCCTCGAGATCTTCGATTTTTCCCAACCATCCTGTGGTGTTGGGTCCTCGTTTTGAAGAGACGGTGCCCGCGTCCTCTCCTCTCCTCCTCTTCCCCCTCCTCCCTCCTCCTCTCATCATCAGCATCATCATCATCGTCATCGTCACCGTCATCATCAGCATCATCATCATCATCATCGTTCTTATCACCATCGTCGTCATCATCATCGCCGTCTCCATCATGGCCACACGTTTCGTGGACCCATAGTGAGCTCCACCGAAGGCCCCAGTGGCAAGGTCCGCATGCGGTTCCACCTCCATTTCGGCGCACCCCTCACACGTTCCGTGGCCCCATAGGGAGCTCCACCGAAGGCCCAAGTGTCAGGGTCCGCATGCGGTTCCACCTCCATTTCGGCGCACCCCTCACACGTTTCGTGGCCCCATAGGGAGCTCCACCGAAGGCCCAAGTGTCAGGGTCCGCATGCGGTTCCACCTCCATTTCGGCGCACCCCTCACACGTTTCGTGGCCCCATAGGGAGCTCCACCGAAGGCCCAAGTGTCAGGGTCCGCATGCGGTTCCACCTCCATTTCGGCGCACCCCTCACACGTTTCGTGGCCCCATAGGGAGCTCCACCGAAGGCCCCAGTGTCAGGGTCCGCATGCGGTTCCACCTCCATTTCGGCGCACCCCTCACACGTTTCGTGGCCCCATAGGGAGCTCCACCGAAGGCCCCAGTGTCAGGGTCCGCATGCGGTTCCACCTCCATTTCGGCGCACCCCTCACACGTTTCGTGGCCCCATAGGGAGCTCCACCGAAGGCCCAAGTGTCAGGGTCCGCATGCGGTTCCACCTCCATTTCGGCGCACCCCTCACACGTTTCGTGGCCCCATAGGGAGCTCCACCGAAGGCCCAAGTGTCAGGGTCCGCATGCGGTTCCACCTCCATTTCGGCGCACCCCTCACACGTTTCGTGGCCCCATAGGGAGCTCCACCGAAGGCCCAAGTGTCAGGGTCCGCATGCGGTTCCACCTCCATTTCGGCGCACCCCTCACACGCTTCGTGGCCCCATAGGGAGCTCCACCTGAGGCCCCAGTGGCAGGGTCCGCATGCAGTTCCACCTCCATTTCGGCGCACCCCTCACACGTTTCGTGGCCCCATAGGGAGCTCCGCCTAAGGCCTAAGTGGCAGGGTCCGCATGCAGTTCCACTTCCATTTCGGCGCACCCCTCACACGTTTCGTGGCGTCATAGGGAGCCCCGCCTAAGGCCCAAGTGGCACGGTCCGCATGCAGTTCCACCTCCATTTCGGCACACCCCTCACACGTTTCGTGGCCCCATAGAGAGCTCCGCCTAAGGCCCAAGTGGCAGGGTCCGCATGCAGTTCCACCTCCATTTCGGCGCACCCCTCACACGTTTCGCGGCCCCATAGGGAGCTCCACCGAGGGCGCCAATGGCAGGGTCCGCATGCAGTTCCACCTCCATTTCGGCGCACCCCTCACACGTTTCGCGGCCCCACAGGGTGCTCCACCGAAGGCCCCAGTGGCAGGGTCCGCATGCAGGTCCACATCCATTTGGCGCACCTCTCACACGCTTCGTGGCCCCATCGGGTGTTCCACCAACGACGATACTTACAACGGCGGCATTCGGAATTGCGTATGGTTGGGCCCTTCGCCAGGATAATTTTTTTGCCTTGAGGGCCTCGAATTGTTCGCCTCGAGAGCCTCGAAATTTTCGCCTCGAGATCCTCGACAGGTTCGCTTCCAGATCCTCGAAATTTTTGCCTCCAGATCGAGGTCCGGCCTGGGGAGCACCAGCACCGATATCAGTTTTCTGTGTTCGCTTGGGGGACCTTCTTTCGGCTGCGAGCGAAGGGTGGAAATGAGTACGAGAAGGCCTTCTCAGAAGGCGGCGGGACTTTTCAGAAGCCCTCGCGCCTTCTGAGAATTTTTCGGTGTCTTCGGGGAAGGCTTAGAAAACTTCTCAGAAGGCCGGGGGACTTCCGAGTCCTCCGATGAGGCCCGCCCCTTCTCACTTCTCACTTCCCCCCCGGGCTCGCCGCCGATTGGCTACGGTCGGGAACTTTGGCTTAGCGTGTCGCTCCGCTGGTTTTGGCCTACAACGCTTCGGTGCGACACGCTATCCACGTCCCGTGCCCAGATCGTCCCGAACGGCTGCTGGAGGCCCAAGGTATGCTCCGAAAACCGCCAGGGCCGCACGACGCCGGCCGTGCACCAGAGGAGGGCGATTTGAGACTCTTCGGGGAGCCCTCTCGTCGCCACAGCTGGACGCAGCGCGGAAAACTGGTGCGCTTGGACACCATGAGGGGTCCAGAGGCCGATTTTGAGTTGTCGTCCTCTCACCTCGCCGTGCTCCGACGTCCACGTGTTCGATATCCAGGAGCCTCTTGGAAGTCACAGAGCACAGCTCATCAGAGCAACACAGCCGCGCAGCAGCGCGCAACACCGAGCAGCACCGCGCAACACCGCGCCCTTCACCTCGCGGCGTTGAGCGGTGTTGGTTTCCAAGTCATTTCCCAGAGGCTCATGGATCGGAGGCGGGATGCGACCGCGCCCTTCGGAGCCGCTTTGGTGCAGCCAGGTCGAGCGTGTGCTTCGGGCCCTTCGCGCGTCTGGAGCGCGTCTGCTCTCTCGCGTGTGCTTGTTGCCTCCCTCCGGCCGCCAGATCTTCCGGCCGCGCCTCCGGGCAACCTTCGTGGCGCCGCAGGACACGCTTTTTACCCTTGCTGTCGGTCTGCTGTCTACGTCCTGCTGCTGCTGCTGGTCCTCCTCCTCGCGCTCCCTCCTGCCCTGTCGCTGGTCCTCGTGAGCATGGTTCGGTGGCTTCTGCCGCACTGCCGACCCCTCGGGAGCGCTGGGTGCCTCTCTTGCAGGGGGGCGTTGCCGCAGAAGCGCGCCGTGCGTCCCTCCGGGAAGCCCAGTACCGTGCCGAAGGGGATCCCTGCTTGGTCGTTTTGGGGTCCCCTTCGGGGCATGTTGGGGGTCTCGGGGCCGTCTTGTTGGGGAGGGCCCCTGGGGGCCCCTTCGAGTTTCCCCTCTTGGGCTCCTCCCGTGGCCCTCATAAGGGGTCCCTTGGGCAATCCGGGGGGCCTTTTGGGCCATCTTGGCGCTCTGTCGGTTTGTTATTCCCAACCATCCTGTGGTGTTGGGTCCCCGTTTTGAAGAGACAGCGCCCCGCGTTCCTCCTCCTCCTCCTCCTCCGCCTCCTTCTCCTCCTCCTCCTCCCATTCCTGGTTGTGCTTTCCGCATGCCGTCATCACCATTCTCATCGTCACCATCACCGTCATCACACTCGCCATTGCCATCATCCACATCATCATCATCGTCATTATCATCATCAGCACTATCATCAGCACCACCACCACCATCACCATCAGCATCAGCATCACCATCACCATCACCATCACCATCACCATCACCATCACCATCACCATCACCATCACCATCACCATCACCATCACCATCAACATCAACATCAACATCACCACCACCACCACCATCATCATCACCATCAGCATCGTCGTCATCATCGTTATCACGCTAGTTATCACCGTCACCATCATTATTGTCATCATCGTCGTCATCATCATTGTGTCCAATTCCTTCCCTGTTAGTTGTCCCGTCTGTTTGGTTCCGTTGTGCTTGAGCCATCGCTCGGCAACATTGGGTTTCATCGGGCCATGTTGTAGGCGTATGATATTCCAACCTAGCTTAGCCTTGATCACCAGAAAAGGATTTCGAGACCTTGACCCTGGGAGGCGAGACTTGTTCGACACCGTTTCGATACTTTTCTGGGAGCTCGAAATTGTTTCTGCGATGTGGTCCTTAAGTGCGATGGGAACAACTTAGTTGTAGGCGAGTTGGGCCGTCTTGGACGGTTTAGCTTTTTCTCGCAACCCGCATCGAGCAGATCACTGACGAAGGGAACCACGCCGAAGGCCCTATACGGAAATCCAACGAAGGTCCCATTGACAGCGCCTGCGTGCCGCCGTCATCCCTCTTTGGCACACCCCTCGCACGTTTCGTACCCCCACAAGGTTCTCCACCGAAGACGATACTCACGACTGCGGTATTCACAGCTGCAAACCAACAACCAATACATGTATATACATACACATCACATACACATATGTATATATACACACCTATACGACCACCCTTCGGGTGATAAGGAGGTTCGGGGGGGGAGGAATCAACGTCTCACTCGATCGGTCTCACTATCGATCTCACTATCGATCTCAGTATCGGTCTCGCTCGATCGATCTCCCTCGATCGATCTCACAATCGATCTCACTCGATCTATCTCACAATTGATCTGACTATCGATCTCACAATCGATCTCACAATCGATATCACATTCGGTCTCATCGATCGATCTCACTATCGATATCACAACCGCTATCACAATCAACGTCATCATCATCATCAACAACATCAACATCAACATCATCATCACCAACATCATCATAATCGGGACACCGTCCTCATCATCAACACCAACATCATCATCATCATCACGGTCATCAACATCATCGGGACACCACCATCATCATCATCATCATCACCATCATCACAATCATCATCATCAACATCATCATCATCATCAGCAGCATCGGGACACAGTCATTGTCATCATCATCATCATCATCAGCACCATCATCGGGAGACCATCATGATCACCATCGTTATCATCATCATCATCATCATCATCATCATCATCATCATCATCGGGACACCATCATCATCATCATCATCTCATCCTCATCATCGACATCATCATCATCAGCATCATCACCATCATCATCAGCATCATCATCATCATCGTCATCATCGGGGCACCATCATCATCATTACCAACATCAGCAGCAACATCATCATCATCATCATCAGCATCACCATCGGGACGCCATCATCATCAACATCATCATCATCATCACCATCAGAATAATCATCATCATCGGGACGCCATAATCATCATCAACCTCATCATCATCAACATCATCATCATCATCGGGACACAATCATAATCACCATCATCAACATCAATATCATCATACTCATCATCATCGGGACCCCATCATCGTCATCATCATGATCATCACCATAATCATCATGATCATCATCATCCTCATCATCGGGACACCATCAGCATCATCATCATCATCGTCATCATCATCATCATCATCGACATCATCATCATCATCATCATCGTCATCATCATCATCATCATCATCATCATCATCATCATCATCATCATCAGCATCACCATCATCATCATCATCAGCAGCAGCATCATCATCATCATCATCATCATCGTCCTCATCATCATCATCATCATCATCATCATCATCATCATCATCATCATCAGCATCGCGGGACACCGCGGGACACCAGCGGGACACCGCGGGGCACCGCGGGACACCGCGGGACACCCGGGGACACCGGCGGGACACCGCGGGCCCCCGGCCGCCCGGAAGGGAGTCATTTGGTCCGGCCGCGCCTCAGCCACACGGGACACCAGCGGGACACCGGCGGGACACCGCGGGCCCCCGGCCGCCCGGAAGGGAGACATTTGGTCCGGCCGCGCCTCAGCCACAGGAGACTTTCTCTCGCCCGCCCACGCAGCTTCGCCTCGCCCGCACGGCACGCACGAACACGAAACCGAAATCGATTTCCCGGTAGGGGGGCTCTCCGTTCCACTTCGATCTCACCCCCCAACCTCCGATATATATATATATATATATATATATATATATATATATATATATTCCTTCTCGAATATTCTTATAAGGAAAACCCCCCCCCCCGTACATAAATTCGGCCCCTCGGACGTGAAAGTCGAAAGTTCGGATTCGGACCCCCTCCAGGCCACCCTGCGCCGCTCGGCCGGGCCCACGAACGCTTCCCGGACGGTCCCGGGGAGACCCGAGACGGCCCAAGATCGCTCCGGGACGGCCCATGAGCGCTCACAGAGGGACCACACACGGCCCAAAAGGCTCCCAAGAGGTCCCAAGAGAGCTCAGAGAGGCTCCCCAAGAAGGCTTCGAGAGACTAATTTCGTCAATTTCGTATAGTTTTTCCGAGTATTTGGCCGTTTCCGCTTTCTCCGCTTTCTGCACTTCACGACGGCCCCATAGGCCCCCAAAACCGCCCAAAGGAGGCACAAGAGGTCCCCACGACAGCCCCAGGACGGCCCAAGACGGCCTCAAGACTCTCCAACGAGCGCCCGGGACGAGCCCAGGAGGCCCCAAGACTCCCCCAACAGAAGCCGAAAAGGAGGAACATGACGCACCAAGAGGCCCCCGAGAGGCCCCAGACTCTCCCCAGACGCCCCAATCAGGTCTCAAGCCCCCGAGAGGCCCAAAAAATGCCCCCAGGGATCCCCAAAACAGCCCCCAAGACGGCTCAATAACGCACCCAAGGGTCTCCCAATGCGGCCCCAGGAAGCTACAGTCATTAACATCCTTCGGAAATAGATACGCTTCCACCTCATTTGTGCCCTGGGCTTCCACGACGGCAACAATGAGTCGACAAGACGTGCAAGCTCCGCGAGCCCCCCTATGAGCCCTATGGACCCTATGAGCCCTATGCGCCCTACGACCCCTACGATCCCTATGAACCCTACGGGCCTTATGAGCCCCATGAGCCCTTTGAGCCCTACGAGCCCTATGAGCCCGATGAGCCCTACGAGCCCTATGCGCTCTATGAGCCCTATGACCCCTACGAGCCCTATGAGCCCTATGAGCCCTATGAGGAGCCCTACGAGCCCCATGAGCCCTGTGCGCCCTATGATCCTTACGATCCGTGTGAGCCCCATGAGCCCTATGAGCCGTGTCAGCCCGATGAGCCCTATGAGCCCTATGAGCCCCGTGACCCCAATGAGCCCTATGAGCCCTATGAGCCCTATGAGCCCTATGAGCCCCATGAGCCCTACGAGCCCTACGAGCCCTGTGAGCCCTATGGACCCACTGAGCCATATGAGCCCTATGAGCCCTACGAGTCCTGCGAGCCCTATTAGCCCCATGAGCCCTGCAAGCACTGTGAGCCCTATGGGCCCCAAGAACCCTATGAGCCTGATGGCCCCTATGAGCCCTACGGGCCCTATGAGCCCTATGCGCCCTACGAGCCCTACGAGCCCTATGAGCCCTATGAGCCCTATGAGCCGTACGAGCCCTATGAGCCCCATGAGCCCTGTGAGCCCTACGAGACCTATGAGCCGAGTGAGCTCTACGAGCCCTTTGAGCCCTACGAGCCCTATGAGCCCTATGCGCCCTATGAGCCCAAGACGGCCCCAAGACAGCCCCAAGACAGCCGAAGACACGCCCAAGACAGCCAAAGAGAGTTCCAACAGGGCCGCAAGTCAGCTCTAATCCTGCGGTACCACTGCTCCCTTTCTGCATGTGCCCTCTGTGAGCTACATGAGCCACATGCTCCCCTATGCTGCTACATGACCCCCATGAGCCCTACGAGCCCTGCACCGTCCTCCGGAAGTTCTCGGGCTGACGAGCCCTACAAACCGCACGCTGAAGTGGAGGCAGGACATGGCGAAAGAGCACTGCCAAGCCCGTCCGGTCAGGCCACATCCCTGCTCGAATCCATGCGCCTCTGCAGCGTCCTCGTACTTTACTTCGCTCCCCTTCTCCCCCTCTCTCTGCCTTCTCTACCTCCCTCGTGTGCTTCTCTGCAAATCCTTCTTCCGCACATTTG